GGTACAGAAGGTGACAGTTAAGAGTGTGTTGGTGGTACAGAAGAAGGTGACAGTTAAGGGAGGTGTGTTGGTGGTACAGAAGGTGACAGTTAAGGAGTGTGTTGGTGGTACAAGAAGGTGACAGTTAAGGGGAGTGTGTTGGTGGTACAAGAAGGTGACAGTTAAGGGAATTAATGTTGGTGGTACAGAAGAGAGGTGACGTTAAGGGAGTGTGTTGGTGGTACAGAGGTGACAGTTAAGGGGAGTGTGTTGGAGGTACAGAAGGTATGACAGTGCAAAGATTGTGTTGGAGTGCGAAGGTGACAGTTAAGGAATTATTTGGAGGTACAGAAGGTGACGTGGGAGTGTGTTGGAAGTACAGAGGTGACAGTCTAGGAGTGTGTTGGAGGTACAGAAGGTGACAGTCTAGGAGTGTGTTGGAGGTACAAGAGAAGGTGACAGTCTAGGAGTGTGTTGGAGGTACAGAAGGTGACAGTTAAGGGAGTGTGTTGGAGGTACAGAAGGTGACAGTTAAGGAGTGTGTTGGTGGTACAGAAGGTGACCGTTAAGGAGTGTGTTGGTGGTACAGAAGGTGACTGTTAAGGAGTGTGTTGGAGGTACAGAAGGTGCGTTGGTAAGACAGGCACAAGTAATAAAAACTTTGCACTGAATGAAGTACAGTATAAGAAAAGATCCTGCACACAGCAACTGGTCGCGAGTAGAGACAAGCCTTACAGACTCACAGATCAAGTTCCTTAGTTTTTAAAATGATGCAAAACTTCCGGTTGAACTATTTCTCTCGTGAGTTAACAATTAAGTTTAAATAACTCCTTAGTAATATTTTCACGAGTGACAATAAAACATCTACATTGAGGTCACCGGTAACAGCTTGTAAAATGTACGGTCATCTTTCATTATCTTAAGATCTGAGTTATTAAAATCAATAAGGTATCCCAAGTAATGGATAAAACAGTTATTTTCATTTTATATCAATATACCTGAAAATTGGATAGAAATACCTGCAATTATATAGAGACACAACTAGAAAAATACTGTTATCAAAGAGCAAATGAAAGTTGTGTCATGATTTACACTCTAGTGAACACATGGGAAGCTGTCTGCCTACATCACCAGTACTGTACTATGGATTATGTTCTGAAATGACATCATCATCACTTTCTACCACTGTGTTGACTACTACAGCCTGGTGATATGTGCACATCAGCCTCATTATGTTTAACATCACAGTTTTATAGTAAACAATGAAATGTGAATGTCTTATAATTAAGTAATTTACAATAAATACTCAGAGAATACAAACTCATCCTTTAGAAATGTTTGATGTGTTCATGAGTAGCCATTATGACATGAAGACATGTTTAAAATAATTATTCTTTTACTTAATAGTTAGGTATTTCCCTTTAACTCACCATCAGTGACATATAAAATATTAAGTATGGCTACAGTACAGTATAGTTCAGTACAGGTATATGCTTATAATACACCAACTAAATATACACTTAGGTCAACAATACTGTACTCTCCTCTACCTAGCAAGGACACACAGCATGTATAGCTAGGTGTAACACAGCCAGTATATATAGCTAGGTGTAACACAGCCAGCATGTACCTGGGTGTAACACAGCCAGCATGTACCTGGGTGTAACACAGCCAGCATGTACCTGGGTGTAACACAGCCAGCATGTACCTGGGTGTAACACAGCCAGCATGTACCTGGGTGTAACACAGCCAGCATGTACCTGGGTGTAACACAGCCAGCATGTACCTGGGTGTAACACAGCCAGCATGTACCTGGGTGTAACACAATGGGTAAACTTACACCCTTCTCAGCTTCATTAAATAATTCAAGCTACAATACTGTACTAAGGTTCTCAGTTGAAGATGAGGAATACCCAGGCTTTATGTACACAAGGGTCTAGCTAGATGACATGAGTATATCTAGATAATTTGTGTACATCTAGATCTACTGAACTAAACCAAGTGATCATACACAGTTAGGCACCTTGATGCTGGTCTAAGCACATTAAGGAACTATCATGTCATATGGCGAATATAAGTGTTAATGTAATACTTTTAAGAAATCAATAGAGCAGTGCACACAATGACAAGATAGTTCCCCAAGAAGGAGACGGGATGGTGGTATCTGTTGGGGAACAGGGTTGGTGTTCAAGTTGTACTCAGAGATCAAGAATATTAAAGAATGACTGTTTGTAACCTATGCTCATTTGTTACTGTCAGCACTTAGAATATCATTAGTCTTAAGAGTTGTCAACACAGTAAACATTTGTGACAGTAAACACATTTAATACAGAGCATTGTTACAAAACATGATTCATTGTTCATGAAAGCTTCTCCTGACAGACTTAAGAAATGTGAAGAGACTCAAGGAACAAATACAGTATTAAGTTGAATGTAATTTTTGTCATAACTTATATAAAATGTTTCTGTTTATCAGTGAAATGTGAGTTTAGGGTTGACGGTTTTGTAGGAACTAATTTATTTGTTCTCTCATAAACATCTACTGTATGTGGTTATTCAGTGTTACATGTCCATTACTCTTAGTGTGTGTGTCTTAAGGAAGCTCCTCATTACAGGAAAAAACAACTGCTAATATCCCAAAAGATTAGAAATCAATCACAGAAGCTGATAAAGTCAGCATTAAATGTCTTGCACGAGGTCAAAACTTTCAAAGCACAAAATTTGTCATTCTATCTAAAGTAGAACCAATGGGCTGGTAATTTCTAATATAGTATAGTTAACATTCAATAATTTTTGATAATTTATAAATTTATATAATTAGCTTAGGGTCTCATGAATTATTGATGATCAATGACTGAAGTTACTCTCCAGCTGATGCTGTACAACAACAAGACTTTTAACAACATATTTGTCAAGTTTGTATAAGATTACATGAATAATAATAGCCAGTATTATTATTATGCCTTCACCATCCTCATTATCAATGATTTGTGGACATTTTCATTAGTGAGTGACAAATTAAATTTCTGACAGACTCATTACATGACCTCATTGATACAGAATATTTAATTCTTCCTGTTTAGATAAAATTTAAATAACTAAATTTTCTCTTGTTCAAAAGAAAAGTGACATTACAGAGTGATGAGATGTGTGTCGGGTCAGAGAAATGTTTCCTCTTTCGTGTGATGTGTGGGCTGATGACTCACACTGAGAGACAGTCATTATCTTACTGAAACTCCATCTAAGAATTATTGTATCAAAGAAACATTTCTGGTGTACTGTAGCTGCTGTACTGGTGTGGTTTAAAGACGAAGATATTATTGAAAATTTGTATCACACTTCAAAAATTCTGTAGATAATTGTACTGGGAGCTTTCATGAACATAACAGAGGCAGTAAAGACCAAGACCAGGACAGTTGAGGGAAAGAAGCAGAACGTTCTCATTATTGGCAACTCTTGACTGGGGGAAAAATTCTTTTTTTCTCCACATAAATATTTCTTATTTGCACATATCAAAAATAAGGTCTTATAAAACTACTTACATACCTTATCAATCTGATTATGCCTCGTATAATATATTGTTAAGAAAACTATTTATTTAAAGATAATTTTCCAAATAACATCCATGAGAAATCTGAGCATCTGAACCACGCAGAAATTTTGTTTACTTGTCTGAACTTTTATTCAAAGTTTTATTATCCATTTATGTGAATAGTTTAAAAATTATCAAGTTTAATATTGTGAGTGAAGAGGATGTATCCTATCAGGATAAGCTGTTCTTGACAACAGCATAGTTGGGAACATCTCACAATCCACTAACTCCTCGTGTCTTTATAGTTCTGGATACAAGCAAACTTACTCCAACTTATAGCTGTACACTCCATACAGTACTCTACAACTAGTAATACCTTACTGTACCAGTCTAAGTCTTACTGTAACATTCTCACAACTCTAGTAACTATTAGTATCTTACTGTAGTACAAGTCTAATATTTACTGTAGTGTCAAGCCAATAACAGAATTCAGTTCTTGAAAAATATAAACCAAGCCCAGAGTAATAAACAACCAACAAGCATATTCTATCACATCTCTGATACACTCATCCGTGTATCAGAACTGAGAGAGATGTGTCCCATCTCAAGGGGATGGTGAGACATGCACACTATTTCCCAGTCACTACTGTATCACCAGGTTAAGATCAACACTATAGAAGATTTTCCAGGTCACTGTCAACTCTATTTACTGTCTAACGACCTTCTTCCTCTCTCTACTAAGCAACGTGTGAGTGATGCACCTCGACCCACAGTAAACGCTACAACGAGCTCAGTTAACTGTTGGCAGTCACTGATGTGTTCACTACTGGTCATCTCTTATGACATGCAGGCAGGAAGGAGGAACATTTCTTAAAACCTCATCCTAGAACCGTGTAAACTATTATTATTTACATAATTATATTGATCTCTTTAATCTAACTACAGACCATTAAAAATATTAGGGGATAAATTCTGATGAAATACTTGTTACAGAATATACTTGTTTCTTTGTAATCATTCTGAGTTTGATCATAAACTGCAGACTGAGAGAGGTAAGGAACAGAAGACTGTACCAAACCTTCTAAAAGGCAAGAAGGATACAAAGATTCAGGTAGTGCTAGATCATAGTAGAGTAGTATTAGATTATAGTCAAACCTAGAGAACAGATGGGAGGGAACAGCACCTGTCTTGTTTTCATATATCACACCACAAAAATATACAAATTAAAATATCAAGTTTAAGAGATGGAGTCGTAAAAAAAAAAAAAAGTCTTTACCCAGTTCTTCAAAACACTTGTGTTCGGCATAAACGTGGGAGACAGGTGAGTCAAGACAGGAGACTGAACCAGAAGACAGTGAGAGAGCGGAAGAGCGAGTACCGAGGGTGTGTTGCGAGGTGTGGTGAGGGGGGGTGTGAGGGTGGAGGAAGGTGCTAGACGCGGCTGCTGCTGCTGCGGACGCCGAAGCTGCAGAGGGAGCCACCAACCCACCGTGGTCGATATCAGAGTGCCATGGAGACGTGTGGGATGACAGAGTTACGGGAGACTGTGTGTAGTAGGCCAAATCTGCCTTGTCCAACGCATCTTCTTCCGAACTCAGACGACGGACCCTCTTGCTACGAGGTTCCAGTGGAGAGTGTGGGTCGTGTGTTCGCCCCATAGAAAGTGGACCTGCACACACACATAACAGGAATCAGTACAGTACTACACAACACTTCAACCAATTTGAAACTTGACAAATAAAAGGGAATATATGAACTCCACAAGATAATCACAAACAAACAACAATTATTTTATCCAAAGTGTGAAATACAGATGAGGAGTAAGCAGGTGTGTGAGGGTGAGGGGGTCCAGGTGCTGACAGACAGGGGAGGAATGGCTACATATACAGTAATGAACTAAAAGCTGATGATGTAATAATCTGAGGATATTAACATAATGGAATAATTAGTATAAAACCTCAACACATCAGTAAATGAATACAATGAAACACAAACAATTAATCGGCGCATTACAATACTATATATGAAAACAGTGTGACTGAAATATATACAGGTAATAATACTGTATGTTGAATTTTCTTTATTCACCTGAGATCACTATTTTACTAGGGACAGTTCTCTCTGTGACTGGTCAAAAATTCCCAGTACTGAACTGTACCTGATGTATAAAATAACATATGGTATTCCCAGCAGCCTTAGTTAACTAGGACTATAATGTATACACTTCACTCACTCTATTAGATATTGTCAACACACAATTATTTTTTGTCATCATTATTTTTACCGATATCCTCAAGATTAAACTTTCTGAGAGTCACCAATGTAAATGCTTCAGATGTAAGTGTTACTCAAGATGTCAAAATGTACATATGAGTACTTAAGATACAAGCGTTACTCAAGGTATCAAAATGCACGTACTGTCAGCTCGCTCCATGTAGGTGCTGTACGCTCCTGCCATGAGTGTGTGGTCAGGTACGGGGGACGTGTAAGTTGTGTAGTACGTCGGGTTCTCCATCTTGATGGTGTTGACGCCTGTGCCGCCACTCCCCATAGCCATGATGGATGCTGTCAACCAGATAAAAACTTAGCATAGTTTTTGATACAATATATCTAAATCTTTGTCAAACTCCCTTCAAGACCCGAGGGGCATCTGTGTGAAGAAGAGTCCTCAAACATCTCGGTCACTGTCGCTCTCCACACCTTACAGCTACACCTCAGGGCACCAATGCTAAAAATTAATTTGGGTTATTGTTATTAAGGTTATGGATAAATATATGGAATTCATAAAATCCACATATTGCTTCCCTGAACAACCTAATTACATAATTTGGTCAGCAGTGCCAAATGCTACTATAATTTTTTTCTTGAAACTTGTATTAAAGAATTGTAATAGATGACTCCCTCCCCACCTGCCTGCACTGAGTAACATGTGTGGGTGGTAGATAAAAATAAGAACACAGTAAAATACGGTAACGTGCGTATCTCTCACCAATGTGTCAAAGGTCCGAGCCTTGGCCCGGACACACATGAGAAGGGTGTTATACAGTGTGACCCTCACTACCAAACACCACAGGTTTCCGTCTCCAGTTTCCTCTAGTACTAACAGTGGATTTCTTCGACCACTCACAGTCTGTTTGATTATTAATCTCCCTGAATAACTTGGCATCATCCACAAACATTTGTATGAAGGAGTGTACTGCTTCTGGCATGTCATTTATGAAACAAACAAACAACAACAGGCCCAGTACACTGCCCTGTGGTACCCCGCTTGTCACGGACACACAAGACGATTTCGTGCCATTAATTGCCACACACTGCTTGCAGTCATGAAGAAAGTCTCCGATTCATACTAAAGCTTTTCCCTGAATCCCGCACCCTTCCAGTTTAATTCTCAGCCTTTCATGGGGTACACTGTGGAAAGTGTCGACAAAATTCATATACTGTATTGTAAATAGTGTATATAATGGTCTCTAGTTCTTTACACACTATGCTGGTTAGACTCACTGCTCTATAATCATCCGAGGAGTTATGATCGCCCTTCTTTAATATAGGACTCACATAGTCATTTAACAGTTTTTGGGGACCTTTTGCACCTCCAGGCATTTGTAGAACAGGATCTTAAGGAGCTCCACAAGCTCGTTACACAGTTCTCTTAACACTCTGGGATGTACCATATCAGGTATATCAGGGCCGGGACTCTTGTGAATCTTTAGCTTTGACAATTTATTTCTTATACAGCACAGTATACTGTACTGTGCTCTCTTCTGAGAACACAATGTGGGTCGGCACTGTGACAAACTGTCTTTCCTCAAAAGTGCTGGAAGATTGCTCATATCCTCTCTTGTGAACGCCGAGGAAAAGAATTTGTTTAACGTCTCTGAATCTGTGTAACTATCATCTTCAAGCCTGAGATCTGATACGCCTATGCGTTTTTAATTTCAATTTTGTGTAGCGGTGGAAAGAGTTGGGGTTTGACTTGACCTCACTTGCAATCCACCTCTGGAACTCTTTTTCAGCCCTTCTACACTCTGACTTTGCTTGGTTCCTGGACCTGGCATACATCCCACTGACCTGTTCATCGGATTGAATTTCTGAGATTTTTTCTTAACTCTGTCAACTACCGCATTGTTCACGTGTAACGATCTCCTCGTATTCCTAGAGCCAATGGGTTTGGTCTTGGGTACAGTATATATTTACCAATCAATGAGTTAACTTTATTGGCTATGAAATTCGGTGTACAGTACTTGCCAACATGCCCAGTACGTATCAGAGACGTGACCGATCACCAAACCGGATAATAAGCCAATCGGTAGCAAAGAGGATAAAATTAAGCAAAAGTAAACTCTGTGTTCTTATAGCTTAGTGAGTCAGGCCATTGGATACCCCCTCATCTCCTCCCGTCGTAACTACCCTTGTAATATTTGAACCCTGACCTGCTTTTGTCATGAACCAAGTAACAGTTAAATCTGAAGGACAACGTTACAGTTACGTGGTGACTGGTGCCGGAGAGGTGTTCCAGCTTGGCCACCATACCCTCCTCGTTAAGTTATGATGAGGTCCAGTAGTTAGGGTGTTTGCTCCCTTCTGTAGTGCGTCGGGTCTTTATCATGTTGGAATAGATAATTGTCTCTCAGAATTTCGACAAAGAGTAGCGGGGTTATTAAGGTCATTTGGGGTGGTCTCATTTCCCCAGTCGATGTTGCTATAGTTACAGCCCCGATGACAAGGAGGTGGCTACACTATCCTCCCTGTTGCTCACCTATCCTACACTATCTCTCATTTTGGCTCCACGTACAGGTATCAATCATCGCCCCACATTATACACCAGCAGGTCCCCCCCCTCCAACACACACACAGCAGACCAGTTCTTCAATAGTTTTAACAATCTTCCTCTTTCCTTGCTTCAATATCTCTGTCCTGATATAATCCATTCCTATACCTTTTCCTATTTCTATTTTGACTGTTTTCCCTCTTATTTACTTCAAAGATATTATTCCATGTTTCTAGTTTTCATCCATCTTTAAGTCATAATATTTGACGGAGTTTGTGCATTTTTGTGTCTTCCTAAAATTCTTATTTTGTTGTTAATTTCACTTTATTATTTCACCACTTATCATTTAATAGCCATCTGGGCAATTGGTCTGTTCTTTGTTATAAACTTTATTATCTAGTATTAGTACAAGAGGAAAATAGAGTACCCAGAAAAAAAAATTATGTCATATATGGTTGGGTCACACTGGCTAACACTACCTTTCTCATGTCTGTCCCAAGCCAGGACTTGAACCCATGACATAGTAGTGAGAGATACGAGAGTTACAGCTGTACCACCAACACCCTTTAGGTCTCAGTAACTCTCTTAAATACTCATTGTACCCTCTCTCTCTCTCTCCTATTTTCATATGGGGTCCAAATCTTTCTAACCTGCAGAGTTGTATATTAAGGAATACATTTTTACACATGTTATTAGAACAGTGGACGATGTGTTTGGATTATAATCGTGCATGTGCATGTGAACGTGTGTGTGTGTGTGTGTGTGTGTGTGTGTGTGTGTGTGTGTGTGTGTGTGTGTGTGTGTGTGTGTGTGTGTGTGTGTGTGTGTGTGTGTTGCTTAGGTTAAGTGAGGTGAAAAATAGTGTGATAATTATGTTTCCCTTCAGGTAAAGACTAAACTCCTTCAGTCTTTCATCTTCCCACTGATTGAATATTTACTGAAAATTGATATGTGATGGAAAAAACAAACTGTGTCTTGTGTATATGATGATACTAGTCTAGAGGGATTCACAACATAACTTTTACAACCATTGACGAGCATTCAGGAGGAACTTACACACACACACACACACACACACACACACACACACACACACACACACACACACACACACACACACACACACAAACATACATACATACATACATACATTCACATAAGCAATTGTGAGTTAAAGATGACAAGGATTCTAAAAATAACACAATCAGACCAATGGAAATGACTAAGAATATACAGTACAGTACTACTATTATTATTCCAATCAATAGTAACTAATTAATAATAAAAACAACTTCAAGTACTGCAGTAAATAAAAAAAGAATAAATTGTTCAAGTGATCAAGAAATAGATGTTTTCTCTCAAAGCATAAAATTAAGAAATATGACAGAGTAATATAGCAGATATGTCCTCAACTGCCCCTACTCCTCTCTGTGCTATATTAAATTATTCTCTCTCACAACTTACTCTCCCACTAGAGCCTTGAATAAAGTAAAATAATATATCGATAAAAGTCAAAAGTATACCCACATATTTTAACGTTTCTTGATTAAGTGACTCATTATATACCTTGAAGGGGGTCAATACTGAGTTTCAAAGGCCACATGAAATACTAATTTTAAGTCTATCTATGAATAAGAGATATTAACAGTATGTCTATAGGACCAAATTATCATGTACCAAGAGTGTTCCATTGATCTAAGTGGACCCCCCTTCAATGACGTATAATAATTCACATGGGTTGGAAGGATACAGATTTTTCCATACCAAGTGAGTGATTTGGTATCATGGGCATACTCTTAACTTCTCCTGTACACACAAAGGCTTAATAAACAATATCATGCCACCTTTCAATCCTCTGCATTATCCCCTTAACTATCATGTGACAATAAAAAAAATATTACCATGATACAAAAACTCTGACCATTGATATTATCAGGGCTGCCAACCATTGTATTCCCTACGAGGACTAACAGTTTACGCATATATTTCTGGCTATAACTTCCGACTTAAATGCTTGGTTCACTGTCACTCAATAATACATCATATATACACTGGACTTGACATTAGTCTTGCATGGTAAATTATTCCACAACCTTTTCAACAGAAGAAGAAGAACAACAAATACTAGTGAGTGATTTTGGAAGTACGTGTGTGTGTGTGTGTGTGTGTGTGTAACTAGAAGAACGTTGATAGTGAATAAAAAACAAAAGAAATATGATGAAACTGAAGAGCTTAAGGGAAACAAGGAGAAATAAATCGTTTAACTTGAAGATATATATATAGTGCTGTATGGAGGAAGTGAGAGGGTATTGTCGTTCTCTGGTAGTGGGTGTGTCAGTGAAGGGTATAAGATCAATGATGAACTGAACGGCAATGTAACTGAGGGAGAGAAAATAACATAGAGATTTGAGAAGAGTATCCGAGAAGGCATCGACGTTGATGTACAGTACGCTACCAGGACACACCGCTGTTGACACTTGACATTATCATATCAGTTGGTTCTGGATTCAAGAGAGGAAGAAGTGAATTAGAAGTGACAAAACCGACATGCTTGAGGGCAATAAGTGAGGTGAATGGGATGAAGAGAATAAGTTATGCAGAAATAAGGGGGAGATAAGAGCACTGTATCAGGGAAGGAGATTAGGGTCTACATCAATGGTATGGAAGGAGTGAGGGAATGACAAGTAAATAATTAATAAGAAAAAGACTTTATAATACAGAAAGAGAGAGAGAGAGAAAGGGAGGGAGACCAAAATAACAGGAGGACATGGTGAATGACACACAAGAAGAGAACAGCGGTCATCCAGGAAGCAACAGTGTGTGTATGAACAAGCAGAGTACGACAAGAAATAACACTTTACGGAGGACACTACTGACGGGTAATGTTGGGTTGTGTGAGGTGATGGGTAGACTGGATAGAAGTTTAGGGCCTTGTTATGGAAGAGAAGTTACTTAGTAGAACACATGGCAGAATGACTGTGTGTGTGTGTGTGTGTGTGTGTGTGTGTGTGTGTGTGTGTGTGTGTGTGTGTGTGTGTGTGTGTGTGTGTGTGTGTGTGTGTGCCCATGATTCCAGCCACCTTACATGAAATGGGAAAAGACTTGACTTAGCTTGTAAATCAACTGAGTTTTTACAAGAGAAAGTGCCACAGTAATAATCTTATGAACATTATCAGGGAACAGGCAAGAGGCTCAAAATTTTGATTAAGTTTAAGTTATGTTAAGATATATTATCTGAACCTACATAATACTGACTCATGTTATGCTTTGTAATAATGGTGTTACTGACTGCAGCTTAACACACACATGATCGTTTTAAATGAAGCACCAAGCAAACAAAACAACATTAAATCGTTTAGTTCAGGCAAGCAAAACTAATGACAAATTTCACACATCGTAAAAACTGCTTTCATTCTTTTTTGTTGTTTAATGTTTTCCAAATTCTTTCTGTAATCTACATTAAAACACACACATAGACACACACACACACACACACACACACACACACACACACACACACACACACACACACACACTGTAAATGTTTATATTATTACATGTTATTCTATCCATTTTTAAAGACAGACCTTTACCACATGTAACCTATTTGAGCAACACAACACCGGATAATGAAATACAACTCAGGAAGAGATACAAAAAAACATTTCCTTTAACAGGTTACATCAAGGGATCAACAGAGGCATAATATTAAATTCAGAACCTGTGTAAGAAAGGTATATTTACAGTGTGTGTGTGAAGCCCTAAAAAAAAATCATAATCAAACCAATTTTCAACTTAATCTGTACAAAACTTCGGCTGTGTTGGGGACATAGAGATCTCTCCAACACATATAGAGTTTTGTACAGGTATAAGTTATGATGTCATATGATTTTTGCATCACAGGCACAGAGTAAACAACTTTTTATCTACGTTGAACTAGAGACACAACCACTTCAGATCTAACCTATATACAGTGTGTGTGTGTGTGTGTGTGTGTGTGTGTGTGTGTGTGTGTGTGTGTGTGTGTGTGTGTATCAAGAAGAAAGTCATCATTGTTCAGGATGAGAAGTACAGGACGGTTAATGTGCTATTTACCACAGTTGAGGATCACTGCCACCGTGACTGCTGTGTAACAATAAACTCCTTCAAACACATAATAAATACACACATAAGAAACACTCACAAATCACCGTAAGTTTCAAAACCCAAACATCACATATTCCTTAGATAATTTATCAATAAAGTGTCTGCTGAAATATTAGTGACTTACGCTAAGCATCAGTACATGTCCGACTGTACCAAAAACACATAACTACAGAAAATTAATAAAATAATATATCTTCATAATTCATGTGTCAATAAAATGTAATAAAGGAGGAAATATTATAAAATACTAAAATAGCTAAATTATATCAAATAATATCACATTGAAAAGAGTGTACATTACCATCTTCTAAAAACATTAGGATGATAATATTCCTGATCTAACATCCTCAACCATCTTTACTGTAGATTAATGTTAGAGTAACGACTTATTTACGCATACAACATATTTTGATGCCGAGTTACGTGCAGTAGCCAGGATGAAGTAGGTGGATATGTGAAGGGTCTTGTCATGGACGTGGAACATAATAGCAAAAGATATCCGTTACAACAATAAGCGTGAGAGAGAGAGAATTATTTATTTCTCTTGGTCCCTGGCTCCTGTGTTATAGTGAGAGATGAATTAAAGGAACAAAAAGGAGGGGGAAATTTTGTAAAGATGTGGATAAAGTTAAGGATAACAAGAAATGAATTAATTTTATGAATTTTAGGGTAAGTTTAGGATATAGTAGAGAGAGAAGGAAGTCTGGGGTGTATAGATGGTATTATTTACACAAGAATATCATATGAGAAAACTTGCTGCACCAGTAATCACAATGACACTTCATATTACCTGTATAAACAACTTTAAGAAATATATGTTAATTATAGATGGTGTTTAATAATCATGGTGTCAGTTTTATTTATTTGATGAATAATAAATAAATCAGCCAAAAAATATAATAATGAAAAATAAATGTGAACTGAATGTAAATAGAGTACAGTACCAATGTGATGAAGTTAGTTTTTCAATTATTAAATACTGCACAGAGAAAACAGCCTTTCTTGTTACAGCCTTTCTTGTTATTGTTGCACTAAATTCTATGTATCAGGACTATACTTTATCCTCTTACTTTACTTTACTTTACTTTACTTTACTTTACTTTACTTCACCACTGATGAGCGTGTCAGCCACTTAATTGGTCGGTCACGTCTCTGTTATGCACCGTTGGCAAGTACTAGGCATGTAGTACTGTGCTGTGCTGTACTGTACTGTACTGACTCTATTACACTATAAAAGGTTTTGGATCCAGAATACTGTAATCACAACAACTGACACAGACATTTGCAAGCTGGGCTCCATTACGGTGTGCATGTGGCTCCTTTAAGTAGATTTAGTTGCATGTATGGTATGTTCATAAGCAGATTAAGGCACTCTAATATACTAACATCACATGACAATTACTGCATGTAACTTTATACAGTGCTTAAACCTGTCCTTGTACAGTACAGTACAGTGCAGACATTTCTAAACTAACTTTCTATTTTTGATTGTTAGCAGAAATAAACTTGATGAGAAAAATAAAAATATACAGAGTACACTGAAAAAAAGAAACCAAAATAATCTTAGCTTCTGTAATAATGGCAAGCTGAACAGCACAAGGAATTTACAACAAAAGTTCAAGTGCAAGTGTTGAGACCGACAAGGTTGTTTCAAGTACAGTCCAGTATGGTCAAGGCTACGGAGTGATGACTATAAGAAGGGTAAACTTGGCAACAAGGTCAGTCAGGTCACCTCATTGACTTATGATCCATACAGTAATAAAGTCGTAGCAAACACTTAAGAAGTTTTCAGTTGAAGGAAATATTTGTATTTGTGGTTGGACCAGTAGTGTACTGTATGGTAATGAAGCAAACAAACCCAATGATAAATAGATGGATAGAAAGATGGATCTAAAGATCAACAAATGTTTGTGTACCCGGGGTGGGTACTGTACCCCAGGTGGGGCACACAACCTCCTGCACTACACACAGAGGTTGGTGTTTCAAGATTCGTGAAACACTAGTAACACTGGTGGCCAGCTCATTTTACACCTGTGTGTGTAGTGCAGGCGGCTGTGCACCCCACCTGAGGTACATTACCCACCCGGGGGTACACACACACATAGAAGGATAGACAGATTCTTATTAATATCATTCACCTGTCAGTCATGGTAGTAAAGACTATGTTATAGATACAGTAGTAAATAACATCTGTTGTTATCTAAATAAAACCATCATGACCAGCAGCACAACATTTATAAGTTGAGTGTTGGGAGAAAACAAGACTCACCGTCCCAACACAACACTACCGGTGTATCGAGCATCAAAACTCTATCGAAAGAGTTTTTATCTGTACGTGCGGATTATATTGACACACTTTGTATTCACATAAGAGTGAATTCTTCCCAGTTTTTCTGGATTATTTTAAAATGACGACCACATTGTATGAGTGACTCGATGATCAAAAAGTTCCTTCAGTGATGACACCTTCATATATTTACTGTTCATAAGTGGATGACAAGTTAATAAAACTCAGTTAAAAGTTTGTTGACAGCCCTGATATGCCAGAAAATTAAGTATTTAGCAAAATATGAGATAACATTAACAAATTAAGAATAAAATGCATACTGTATATATTAGAATCAGAGGTTGAAATGAGACATGATATTAATAAATCATAAAAATACATTATCCAAGGCTCTCCCTGTCCACCACTCTCACCTCGCTCTCTCTCTATCCACCTATCTCTTGCTCCATCAAGATCTCTCTCTTCCATCCTGGAGTAAGAGGCTTCTATATCAGACTCACTTTTGGAGAGTCTCCACAGTTCTCTGGCAGAGAAGCAACCAGTGGCCAGGATGGTGCTGTTGTAGATGATGCCATTGATGCCATTGTAAGCCACACTGTGCACCGGGTGACCTGCGGGAGGACCTCTTATTAGTAACTTTATTATTTTGTACACTTAGTACATACCAGCTGTACTGTACACCAGCTAACCTGTACTGTACATGATGAAGTCTTCTTGATAACTTTCACTTAATGTCTACACATTGTTCTGTACAAATCAGCAAAATATGAATCAACAGGACATAAAGTAGTGTTTATATATTGTACCATCACTTTAAAGGTAAGTATTATATGCCATTACTGTGATGAGCAAAGATAAGTGACATTGGGTCGGGTTAGGTTAGGTACTGTACTGGGATGGATGATCACCTAGGAACACCAGATACTGTTGGCCTTTAAACTAGAAATGACCATCTGGTGGTTTTGTCAGTTATTACCTAAATACTGTATCATTTATTATAATTATTCAAAAATTATTTCAGGCTCATGGCAAGCAAGCTACAGTCTCCATTATTGCAGCAAATGAAACAAGGTGAATTTATAGTATCACACCGGTCTTTATTTATGTATTAAAAATATGTATCTCGTAATGTTTAAACAATTCTAAGACATTTTTCTTCTACGATATTTCCACCGGAAATTAAGGATAACCGAGATATTAATTTTTTTCTAATTATTACTTTCGCTCAGTCACAAGTGTCGCCTCTTCTTTGCTCTCTAAACGTCTGGGGCATGAACAACGGGTTACCTTAGGTTAGGTTTGCTTGGTTGGTTGGTAATATAATTTGTTATTTATTTAAAAAAAAAATCCAACCTTTTCCATTATGATTGTTGGGTGTTGGAATAAATAAACGAGATTTCCGGTAGAAATGAATATCAAATTCGTTCGAAATTCATCAAAATACATAGTAAAAAAAAAAAAAATTTTAAATCAAAATAAAGACCGGTATGACACTATAAATTGACCGGAAACAAACCACTATACAATACTGTACAGGTATCCCTTGTTTACCATTAATTCACTTAACGTTAATTCGGTTTAGTAATAAAATATTTTGACACCCTTTATCACTTAATGTTAGGTCAAAACTCGGTTCAGTGACAGCTTGACCCACCAGGACGGGGACAAACTGGGGGTAAGGTCGCCTGATGGCCTGTTGTCATTGTTACATGCAATGGGAATATAGAAGTTGTGGACAAATCATTACAATTCTCTAGTGTGGCTTAGATACAGTATAGTGCTGTATAAAGAAAATATAATAAAAACTATAAAATAAGAAAAATGAAGTGCATTGGTGTGTGTTACTGTACGGGTATTGGTCTTTGGTATTTAAGTTGTAACTGTGTGGCCGACCACTACCCACCTGAGACCCTTCCTCTGATGTGACGTCACGGCACACACACACATACTGTACTTCATGTACTGTACATACATATACATATATTCATACATACATACATACATCTTGGAGTCAACTGGGTGACTGCCCAGTTGAACTGTGCCACGTCACCCAGAGGGTGGTTTCAGTGTAGGAGCTTTTTTTTTCAGGTAAAATATGAACTATACAGCACAGTACTGTACAGTACTATTGTATTCTATGATATGCTATGTATAAATTTTATTCTTTACCATAGCAATTTTTTTTAAAGTTTGACGTAAGGAAGCAATTTGAAATTTGTTTGAATGAGGCTCACATTTTGTTCACTAAATTGTTTAACTTTGATACCATTTATAACAAACTTGATTATTATTATTACCCTGTACAGTACAGTACAGTACAGTACAGTACAGTACAGTACAGTACTCAGTGTTTACTGTCCTGCTATTTGAACTTGTTCACCTTCCATGCTTTGAAGTTATCCCTCGTTCAGTGATAATTCCGCTTAATGTTAGGTTTCAGCAGGAACGCAGCCCCATTGTTAAATGAGGGCTACTACACAGTGTGTATCTAACTTTTGCAGGACAAAGTTTGACACTGCTCAGTGCTCAGTGATCTATTCTAGTTACAAGTATTGTAAATCTTAATTTTTTAAATTATTTTGTGGTAAAAATGATTTTTCAGCTCTTCCACTTGTATATAAAAAGTGAACATTTGATTTGCAAACATTTTTATTTAAGGAAACTAATGAAAACGTAATAAATGCTGAGATACAGTTCCACACAACAGTTATTTGAATATAAACAAAACTGAACAACTCTGTGTAAAGTACAGTACAGTGTGCACTTATGGTCAGACTTTACCATTCTTCTCCACCTAAATTAGATCAGGTAAAAACAATATACTGTATGAAGAAAAGTTTTATCCTTATCTGAAGATTAGTCTACACCCACCCCAGGCATTGTGATGTGTTGTGATGTGTTGTGATGTGATGTGTTGTGTTGTGTTGTGATGTGTTGTGATGTGTTGTGTTGTGTTGTCTTTGGTTTTCTCGACTGGAAAAAGAACATTATTCAACGAAACAATTTTATAACTCTTACCTCCAGTTTCATATATACGTCAACAAATAAAAAGCGAAAACATCAATAAAAGCCAAATAATAACCAAAAATAAATAAAAGCGAAAACATCAATAAAAGCCGAATAATAACCAAACAATAAATAAAACAAAATTAACAAAAACCAAAAAAAAAAAGACAATACCAAATAAACAGAAATTAAATAATACCAATGACCATATTTGCATAATCCCAATAGAAAACGTCTCCATAATAGCAAATAGGGAGTATATAGGCCTACCAATTACACCCATCTATTTTTATATATTAATAAATTGATAAATATTTTGCCTATTGCAGTAAAGTCGTCGGTATTAGTGGTATAGCAGTACATCCTATCCTCAATGTCCTAGGTTCGAGTCCTAGCTCAGGGATAGCCATAGGAAAAGGTGTTCAATGTCCCAGGTTCGAGTCCTAGCTCAGGGATAGCCATAGGAAAAGGTGTTCAATGTCCCAGGTTCGAGTCCTAGCTCTGGGATAGCCATAGGAAAAGGTGTTCAATGTCCCAGGTTCGAGTCCTAGCTCTGGGATAGCCATAGGAAAAGGTGTTCAATGTCCCAGGTTCGAGTCCTAGCTCTGAGATAGCCATAGGGAAAGGTGTTCAATGTCCCGGGTTCGAGTCCTAGCTCTGATATAGCCATAGGGAAAGGTGTTCAATGTCCCAGGTTCGAGTCCTAGCTCTGAGATAGCCATGGAAAAGGTGTTCAATGTCCCAGGTTCGAGTCCTAGCAGTAATCATAGCCATAGGGAAGGTGTTTCAAATCCGGGTTCAGTCCTAGCTCTGATATAGCCATAGGAAGGTGTTCAATGTCCCAGGTTCATAGCTCTGGTATAGCCATAAAGGTGTTCAATGTCCCCGGGTTCGAGTCCTAGCTCTGATATAGCCATAGGGAAAGGTGTTCAATGTCCCAGGTTCAGTCCTAGCTCTGATATAGCCATAGGGAAAGGTGTTCAATGTCCCAGGTTCGAGTCCTAGCTCTGATATAGCCATAGGGAAAGGTGTTCAATGTCCCGGGTTCGAGTCCTAGCTCTGATATAGCCATAGGGAAAGGTGTTCAATGTCCCAGGTTCGAGTCCTAGCTCTGGGATAGCCATAGGGAAAGGTGTTCAATGTCCCAGGTTCGAGTCCTAGCTCTGGGATAGCCATAGGAAAAGGTGGGGGGGGGGGACTCCGATTTCCTCCTGTACTAACAACTGGACCATAGAGTTGATAACCAAGTGACAATGAATAGACCAACCGACTTAACGAGCTAGTGAGGTGATAAGTGGTGAAGGGAGTACAGTATTATCATCCCTCCAGTACCCTTCCCTCCTTACCCTTTCCTTCCCTCCTTCCCAATCATCCCGAATACCTCCTTCTCCCTCCTTCAGTCATTCCCCATTACTTCCACACGGCGGCACAAGAAAGACTGAATATATTCCTCCCTCTCTCTCTCTCTCTCTCTCTCTCTCTAGTGTAAAGACAAACATGAACACCTGAACATAAACGTCTCCTGGACACATAATAGGACACCCTTGGACACAGGCTAAGACACCCTGTGGACACCCTTGGACACCTCTGACACCTCTTGATTACCCCTATGTCTCACGCCACTAGCCCCAGAGCGTGTAATGTGATGATTATAACAGGCTTCTGTAATGACCAGTCGAGCGTTCTCTACTCCGCCATACTCATCTTATAGTAGCCGAGGATACAGCTACACGGCGCCTCTTCTCTCTTCTCTCTCTCTCCAGCTAGTCCTCTTGTAACTCCAACATTTTATTTCCATTTCGTTACTTTTATTTCTTTTGTTCTATTAATCCTTCACACTGATGACTGACGCACACACACACACACACACACACACACACACACACACACACACACACACACACAATATCATCATACACACACACACACACAGACACACACATCTCTTCTCTGAATTCCAAAGGTTAGTGCGGAGGGAGAGAGAGAGAGAGAGAGAGAGGGAGGAGAGAGAGAGAGAGAGAGAGAGAGAGAGAGAGAGAGTACTAAACTGGTTACCCATTGGTGTACACAGACAACAGGTATTTGAGAATGATAGACTCTGATTGGTTGTATCTCAGAATGATGGCCTCTGATTGGCTGATACGAGCAGACCCTCTCAACCACGCTCCCAGGTCAGCTGATCCCCTCACATCAAAGACTTCCTCTGATTGGCTGAGGTAGACCCTATGGGGCGGTATAATGAGCGTCATTGATTGGCTCCCATCAACCCAGAGTGACCGATGTGGTGTATTTGTTTATGATTTCCATTAATGGCGGAAGAGTCGAGCGCTGACGTCAACACTGTCTGGCCAGGGACCATCAGTGTAGTGCTGAGCAAGTGATAGTAAAGGTAAAACACCTTATATACCTTTTTCTATTTATTATTATCATTATATAAACATAAGGAGGTCTAAACAGCGTTAAGTGAGTCCGTGTATTGTGTTACCTTACCTACTGTACAGTTAGTGGGAAATTGACGTATGAATAACTGAGAATCAGGACTAGTAATAGAATACAAGGTCAAGTGTTACCTAAGCTCAAGAGAATTCCCGCCAAAACGCAGCGG